GAGCCTTCACATCTTCCGCCGCAAACTAAAGACACACCTCTTCAGACTCTACCTCGACTAAAGACTAACAAATTGTAGCACTTGAATTGTACTTATAACGTCACTCATCTATAGCAAATTGTAAATTGGCTTATTTGAGGAAATTGCACTTTCTTGTTTCTTGTTCTCCTGAGTTTGTACCCTATGGTTGAATGCACTTATTGTACGTCGCTTTGGATAAAAGCGTCCGCTGAATGACATGTAATGTAAAAAGGGAGGGGAACATGACAACCCACTGCTCCGGCCCACCGGTGCCAGCAAAAGGGGTATGGAGTCGCGGTGCGAGAAAAGGACAAACACCAAATACAGTAGAACGCTTTTATCTAACAAAATAAACACATAAATAAACAATAACTTTCTGGGAAAAGGGGAGGGCTGGCCGGACCAAAACAAAGAAATAAACAAAAAGGTCCCCACCCCTAACCTGTACTAACCCCCAATTGAAAACACTCTACCTGGCACACGGTCAAGGCGCCCTAACCAAACTTACAGGTGGTGGTCCGCTCAGGTCTAAACTGGTGTTTCTAGACAGAGAAGTAAACCTACGCGTGATGTATACCCCGGGGTAGCTCTAAATCTACTCCCCACTCCCTGTGAACAAAAGAGGAAACAAATAATTAATCAAATGACACAAACAAACAATTGCTCCCTCCTGCTGCTACACGTTCCAAAAGAAACACAAGTTATTTAACACTATTGAATATATCCTCACACAGGGTACAAACCAAAGGCAACATATGGGAATATGCTGGGAATATGCAGGGAATATGCAGCAAGCATGCAGCAAGCATGCAGCAAGCATGCAGCAAGCATGCAGCGCCCCGAACTGGTCCAAAACTGGGCTTTTTAATGAGCCCAGCCAGCTGCAACCACTGACGAGGAGGGTGGAGCTCCGGGTCCCAATCCTACCTGAAAAACACACACACACGCAACTACAAGTAATCCCCGAATCAGAATCATTATACGAACCCAGATATCTGGGGACGTAACAGGAGGAAATAAGGATCTGGTGGTTGACTGTGTCAAATGCAGCAGAGAGGTCCAGAAGGATGCGGACAGGAGAGAGAGGTGGCTCTAGCAGTGTGGAGTTGCTCTGGGACAGCAAGGAGAGTAGTCTCTGTGGAATGGCCTTCCTTGAAGCCTGACTGGTGGGGGTCAAGGAGGTTGTTATGGTGGAGATAGGAGGAGAGTTGGTTAAAGATCGCACGTTCAAGAGTTTTGGACAAAAAGGGAAGAAGAGAGACCGGTCTGTAGTTGTTTTCTTCGGAAGGGTTGAGGGTAGGTTTCTTCAGGAGAGGATTAACTCTTAAGAATTGGGAAAACAGCCAGATAACAGGGCATTGTGGATGAGACAGGTGAGGAAAGGAAGAAGGTCAAGTGCGATAGATTGTAGAAGATGTGATGGAATGGGGTCGGACGGGCAGAGGTTACAAGGGTAAGAATTTGGTTAGGAGACCGGAGGGTGAAGGAGGAAAGTGAGGGCGATAGAGGAGGAGGTAGAAGTAGGAGGTGGGTTTGAGAAAGAGGAGCGTATGTCAGCTATTTTCTTGGTAAAGTAGTTGACAAAGTCACCCGGAAGAAGGGTGGAGGAGAACTAGGGGGTTCGAGGAGGTTGGAGAAGATTGTTTTTTGGGGTTAGAAAATGAAGATTCGATTCTGGATTGGTAGAAGGGGCTTTTGGCAGCAGAGATAGAAGCAGAAAAAGAGGAGAGAAGAGATTGAAATTCAAGCAGGTCGTCAGGTTGTTTATATTTACGCTATCTCCTTTCCGATGCTCGCATGGTGGCTCTCATGGCACGCACCGGTTGAGACAGCCACGGAGCCGGAGGGGATTTGCCAGTCCGTCGGGTCGTCAGAGGGCAGAGAGAGTCTAGAGAGGAGGAAAGCGTTGAGAGGAGAGTCTCGGCCGCAGCATTCGGATGTAAGAGTGAGGAGTCGGTGGAAGGGAGAGCTGATAGAACAGAGGATGCTAGGGAGGAGGGAGAGAGGGAGCGAATGTTGCGACGAACAGGTACAGAGTCAGTCAATGAGGCAGGGTCGTTAGTTATAGAGAGTGGGAGAGAGTAAGAGATGAAGAAGTGGTCAGACACATGAAGTGGAGTTACAGAGAGGTTAGTGGTAAAGCAGTTTCTAGTAAAGATGTAGTCAAGGTGATTGCCGGCTTTGTGAGTAGGAGGAGAGGGACTGAGTGACAGAGCGAAAGAAGAAAGTAGGTGATGGTGAAGGTGAAGAGGTCAGATGACTTCTCTGTCTGGATGTTGAAGTCACCCAGGAGGATGAGCGGAGGGCCATTTTCAGGGAAGTTGGACAGGAGAATGTCCAGTTCTTCCAAGAAATGACCCAAGGAGCTTGGCGGACGGTAAAGGACAACGGGTTCTCTAAACAATGACATCATTCTACAATAACCTGGAAGATTATGTTATTTTGCTTGAATCAGAACCAATGCTTGATAACGGCAATGGAAATCAGTGTTCTTAGACAAACAGTATCCCATTTACAAGATGTTGTCACTCGATACTGAGAAGCATAATGCATTTCCAGAGTCACACACGCCATGCATGCAAAAATAGTTAAACTCATGGGCGTGTTGTCCAATCGCAGACATTCTCTACCGTGTAGGCCGCAAGGGACATTTCATTGTGGTTCTTCTCAAAATGCACTGAGCGTACAGTAGATACCAATTCTCGCTTAAATTTAAGTTGATAGAAGAGGGTTTTTTGTCAATAGCACACACTGCTAAATGTCTGGTGAATTAGTGAAATCCATTAAGGCCAGTCATACTGTAAGTATGTAAGTACCTTGCCTATTATTTAGTCAAATAATCAGCCCTAAAACAGTCAAAGATACTGCAGATGTCCAAAATACAAAAATCCTGGCATTACATTAGTCTTAATCAAACAACTACCACATGACTGATAGACTCACCCGCCCCCAAAAACACATTCTCAAATGCCGAGTGAATGTTCTGTCAAGTCCCCATTAAGCTTTCCAGAATGAAACGTGAACAACATTTTGGGAAAGGAAAGGAGCTCTTTGAACTCACAGTTCAAGGCCAAAACGACCCAATGGTCACATAGTTAGAGGGCAGCCGCCCCCCCCCCCATTCACAGCTTAGACACACACACACACACACAAATGCCTCTACCGCCGTGGTGCCAGTTTTCCTAAACACGTCCACCAAGCTATCACTTATGTCTGCAAAGCAACCAGCTCTGCTCTTGTTTGGAATAAATCTACTAAACAATAGTAAATGAACAAAACAAAGTGTGCTGCAGCATGCTGGAGAGGAAGAATCAAATTCGTGATCCTCATAAAACTCCAGATATGCTGTAAATTATGACACAAAATACATCTTCTTTCACAATGTACACAACTCACATACAACGGTTTACTTTGTTCTCACGGAGCTGCTCACCTCACCATCCGCTGTTTAAGGTAGACTATGCTGTTTCAAGTTTTAACAGTAAGTGAGAGCATGATACAAGCGCAAAAGTCAGAGCTGGTAGATGTGGCCCGGGAAAGGGAAGTTTGGGGTCCCCTGCTGGAGCTGTTGCCCACGCGACCTGACCCCGGATAAGTGGTTGAAAATGGATGGATGGATTGATGGATGGATGGTTCCCACCATTCAACGGAATATGAAAAGCTTTTTTACTGTCTCACAAGTACCAACAAACCCAAACTAAACTCTAAACAGTTAAAAAGGGGTTAAGTTATGACTCAACGGAATCACATCTAGCATCTTTTTAGCATCTAGCGAGTTAGGGTTTTGTTTTTAGTCTAACATTAGCAAATGTATGGCATTTTGTGGCAACATTTTTCACAGTCTGCATGCCTGCTTTCGCTTTGACAGACACAGTGGAATCCAACCCGTAACCAAGCACATTTTCCCGTTGGGTGGGGTGATTATATTTATCGGCATGAGTCAAGTGTGCGTTTACAAGCAAATAATATACTCTTTTTGATGTGGTATCATAAGTGACCTGATTTTAGCTTGGTTAATGCATGTCTCACAAAATTCTGCAATAATTATGGCAAAGAAGGTGAGGAATCAATCAGAAACTGCTTTTACATTTATAATTTACCATTTAAGTAGACCTTAGTCATGGAGATTTTCAGTGATGATAATCTGTATCTGAGCTATAAAACATTACAAAAACCATGTGGCCTCATGTGGCTTAATGCAGTGGACTGCTTTGAAACAAAGCTTGATACACATCTTTGAACCACAGCAATCAAATTGATCAATATCCTCCCACTCGTTGGCTAATGACAATATTGTGGATGTGCAAAAGAGATACAAAGCTGGTGGGGACAGGGGTCAATAGTCGCGTTCCTCAAACTAAGCACATTTTCCATGTCTGAACAGACATTGTGCATTTAAAAAGAGCTTGTCTTTGTCTGTTTATCCTGATGTTATGCACCTGATACGACTTGCTGGTATACGAAAGACTTACATGACTTCCAGCACTGTTTACATCGCCTCTCTAATTGTTCGCAAACAACATTAATTAATCTAATTGCAGAGCTGCTTCACTAGGGATGATTTCAAAGTAGAGTAAAAAGACAGCACCACCTACTGGTAGTTGGGAAGTACTGCGTGGGGTTTTGTGTGAAAGTGCATCGTATGAAATGCATTAGGATAAATTTAGATCGCTGAGTCGCTGGTCAGACTGTCCCGGCAGACGTCTGTGCGCGTAAGACAGTTCCGTTACAGCCACACAGCTGCAATCATATCAAAGCTTAGTGAAAACTATTTTGTCCTCTCTGTGGACCCCAGGAAGATTAGCGGCTGCTAAGGCATCAGCTAATGGGGATCCATTAAATAAACAAATATTTACAAACACAGTTTGGTACGATTGGTAAGATTTTTCTCTCTCTCTGTGTATATTTATATATATATATATATATATCATCATTCAAGCATACAAACAATTTAGCTCATGAAAATAATCTATGCCATCAGCAGATTAGTAATACTGCTTTTTGAGCAAACCTGAAAACTAAAAGGCTTTCACTATTATTTAGACAGTCAACAACATCAACACCGTTATATGTGATCATTATTTCAAACACAATATTCCTAGAAACGGTTTCTGTAATGTTTTAAATTGTCTTTCGAATACAGACAGCGGGAGAAGTAAAGCGTCCTGCTGTACAGACATAAACTCTGCTGAGAGCCGACAGCAGTTGCCTGGTAACAACAGAAAACAAATCCCAAGCGAGTCTGTCTGCCGGACAGCAGCTGCACAACATGTCACCTATTTCCTTGTCTAACAACCACCTGGCTTGTTGTTATTGAATGAACCTTTTCTTTCCACTTTACTGTACCTCCCCACAGCAGAATGACCATGGGGAAGAAAAGCCAAAGGACCAAAGTTAAGAAGATCTCCTTGAAAGTGGCTCAGAGCTGCGTGGAGCTGACGACGGATGGAAGACGTCGTTTAAATCTTAGTTTTAAGGAGATCGCCGTGGTGCCACAGTGCATCCAGGGGCTGTGTGTGATGGATGAACTGGACCTGAGCAGGAACCTGATCACAATGGTCCCCGACTTCATTGAGAGTTTCATCAGCATCAGTGTTTTGGATCTGCACAGCAACTATGTGAGTACGACATTTAGGAAAATACGCTTCAAAAGGCTACGTTATTAATATATAACACCAAACAACTATTTCATATCTTACGTTGCTCTGAAGGAGCTTTGGTGGTCCGATAGAAATATACCTGGAAATGTGTACACAAAGTCTGCACTGCTCGGAGTGTTCACCCTACCGGGACAGTATTGCATTGTGGGATGGTGGGCTTCAATAGTTTTTAAGGTTTATGCAAGTTAGCATTCCTTTGATTTTCCTGGGATATATGATAGGTTTGTTGTTTGTGTGCTACTGTTATTCTTTGTATACTGTGTATAGTAGACATTGATTAGTTAGTAGACATTCAAAACAGGTCCTAAAAGACTTTAAGACCAGAATCTATCTCATGGCCCTTGCAAGAGATGGGGACCTCAAATGATTGAATAATCTGTGCTCACTGTTTATACCAAGGTTTTTTTTTCATGCAGTACACAATTAGTGAATGAATCAACTCATACACTCCCTGAGGAGTATGTCTACTACAGTATGTGCTTTTTGTTTTATTGCAGTTGGAGCAGATCCCAGAGAGTATCGGCCGTCTCCGGAACCTTCTGGTTCTGAACCTGTGCAACAACCGCCTGACGAGCGTCCCTAAGGAGCTCGGCCTTCTGACGAAACTATGCACGCTCAACCTGTGCATCAACCGGCTGCACGACCTTCCCTTCTCCATTGGCGCGCTGAAGGAGCTCCGCCATATCGGCCTCTCCGACAACCGATTCACCCTCCTCCCCGGATGCCTCTCCAGAATGAACAAACTGGAGACGGTCAAGCTGGACAGGAACCCCATTGTCGTCAAAGGGATGGCCATCCAAGAGTCCATGACGACCGAGAGCAGGTTTCATCTGGTCAAAGAGAGCGCCCTGTGTGAGGCCTGCCTCCAGAAGTGCCAGACTGAGAGGGATGAGCAAAAATAAATGACTGGGGGATGAGAAGGAGATGTGGAAATTGGGTTCTTTTATTTGACCTCAATAGACCTCAATAAACAAGTGTATTGCACCCTCAATAGGAAACCTGTAATATGTTGCATACACATACAGTAAGAAGCCTCAGACAACCACTAGAATGTACATGATGCATTAATACAGTTATGAATGTATTTTTTTGGAGCAGGTGTCCATTAAGTGTCTTCACAAGAAAATAAGACTCATTGTTTTTTTGACTCAAATTTTCAACAGTACTTCAATTGTGTTTTTAACATTTTTTTATTAAAATGCAGAGTGGAGTCAACGTATAATTTGAATAATTATTGGCCACATGCATGTTTCAACTGCACGCAAATTCAGAAAGGAAAATATACTGTAAATATCATGTTCAGATATTGTGTACTTGAACTCATGCGTGTACAATTCCTTCGACCTAGAGGGCAGCAAAGACTACCAGAAGCAACAAATGCCAATACCTCAGTCACACCACCCTTATCTCATTGATGTTATTGATTCTGAATGCTTTGATAAAAAATGACAGTATGTGACAGTATCTTTAATGGCCACCATCAAGGATTACGTGTTTATGCAAAAGTATTTTAATAAAAGAAAAAAGGGTTAAGCTGCAAATCTTGTGCAATCTTCAAGATAGGAAATGAAGTGTTAGTCACAGCCGTGCAGTCTATGCAAAGCTTACAGAGTGACATTTAAATGGTCCAATAATATACATTGTAATATTACTACCTTTCAAATAACCACAAATCCAAATTGAATTTTTTACATTGTGTTTAAATCGGAATGAATTGCACAACCAAGGGCTTTTGAAACCCTTGAATAAGAATAGAATTAAACTCCATTAAAATGCCAAATCAGGCTGTTTCTCCTGCTGAGATGACAAATGGGAGATATTAGGTTCTGCTCATTATTTCATTCATTTTGAAGTTGTCAATTAATGCAGCGGAGACGTTTCCTACAAAATGTAGCTGCTTATATTAGCTGCTCTGCTGGCCCATGGGTAGTCTGCCAATACTGTTTAACAATGTTTCAGGATAAAGGTCTCAACAGCCATCTCTGTTCAGTTACATCAAACAGCAGTCCTCTTTTTCCATCCATGAGTCACTTTACGGGACGTATTAACGTTCAAGTGCCTGGCTTTCCCAGCTGAGAAGCAAAAGGCTGCTGATATAATCGCCACAAAACTCGTCTGTTGTCTTAGAAATCATTATTTCAAGACGATGGAGGCCATTGTGAAAACAGTGACTAACCTCAGAGGATCATTTCATTCGGTTTACCACATTGCCGATCTGAAAAGTGTTGAGTGGACTGGATGAAGATCTCAGTAAATGCAGTCATTAAGAAGTGAGCGGCCTATTGACTCCCATAGTGAGACTGACCAATATATGGTAAAATGGGAGAAAAACACAGCGAAAGCCGATATAGAAAAATACACAATGCCTTATAATGATGCAAAATCACAGCTATAAGTATGGATGATCACAATTTCAACCTTTCTGTTCATTCGCCTTTGAAAAACAGAAGCAAAAGAAAAGGTTGTATTGATAGCTGAACAGCCGGATGCTCTTTGGGCCATGCTACCGGGCACACGGACATTGTCAGTGTTACGGTAAACTAATTTACCTTAGGTTAGGTTTCTCCCTGCTGTTTTTCCTCAGCCAGCCCATCAATCTCTCCATCCTCCCACCGGCTCTACGTAGGTCAATCACCCAAACATAAACAGGCAGGCAGAATGAACGAAACAGGAGTGTGTGAAGGCAAAGAAATATGGCCACAAATAGAATGTAATTCATTTGGATTGCATAGCGCTGTCCTTTATTGGCTGAGATATAGGGCCATTGGAGTCATTATATTGAATAAAACAAGAAGCTCAAAGAGGCAGTTTGGTCCTTTTAGATATTTGTGTAGTAAAGAGAATTCATTTCTCAGCTCTGGTTGTCTGTGCAACACTAAGAGCATTGATAAAGCACCAATAACTATTTGCATTGTAGAGATATAGTAAAGATGTAGTGGAGTAGTTGCTCTGCTGACACCCACAGGTGTGTCGTAATCAGAGCTTCTATATACTTTACAATGTTTACATTGCTAGGATGGCCTCGGGGTAATTTCATTGCACGTGAGCGTGCCCAGTTGGCTAGCCAATGGCCAATGCCCTGCACCTTTTAAACTAAAACCAATGAGAAATATGTTCAAAGCTAATGAGTAAGCTAGTGGAGCAGCAGCTATAGACCCAAGTTTAAGTTCAAGTTCAAGTTCAATTTTATTTATATAGCACATTTAAAAACAACCTCAGTTGACCAAAGTGCTTAACAAGCTCGAAAAGCAGCGATACAATAAAACAAAGACAGAGCACAATGTACAATACAAAATAACTGACAGTAGAGAAGAACAAAGTCAAAATATCAAAGCTCAACTAGAATTAAAAGCCAACATGGATAGGTAAACTATTCCAGAGGTTTGGAGCAGCCACTGAAAAGGCTCGGTCACCTCTGGTTTTTAACTGGGATCCAGGCACATCGAGGAGCATCTGATTAGACGACCTCAGTGCTTTGATAGGTGTGTGGACATGTAAGAGCTCCGACAAGTAGGAAGGCGACAACCCATTTAAAATTTTAAAAACAATTAATACAATTTTAAATTCAATCCTGAAACAAACAGGAAGCCAGTGGAGGGTGGCCAAAGCCGGTGTAATGTGGTCGCGTTTTTTTGTCCTGGTCAAAAGTCGAGCTGCTGCGTTCTGGACTAACTGCAAGCGACGAAGGGATGACTGATCCAACCCAACATACAGTGAATTGCAGTAGTCTAAGCGGGACGTAATGAATGCATGTATGACTCTCTCAAAGTCTTTGCGTAGCAAGTAGGGTTTGACTTTAGCCAGAAGTCTCAGCTGGAAGAAGCTAGTTTTGACAACAGAACTAATCTGTTTGTCAAGTTTAAAAGCACTGTCAAAAATCACTCCCAGATTTCTGGTAAAAGGACGAATTTGGGAGCCTAAAATACTGAGAGTATCTACACAGGCACTGAGATGTTCAGCACGTCCAAACACAACAACCTCGGTCTTACTGTCATTAAGACAGAGAAAATTCTGATCCATCCATACTTTGAGATCACTCAAGCAGTTTATCAGCGGCTTGATAGTGTCCTTCTTATTGTTTTTTACAGGCAAGTAAATTTGCACATCATCAGCAAAACAATGGAAAGAGATGTTGTGTTTTTTAAAAATGGACCCTAAGGGCAGCATATACAGAGAAAATAGCATTGGTCCCAAAATGGAACCTTGGGGGACCCCACAGGACAGAGGGGCAACAGATGAAGAGCAGTTACCAATGTGGACAGAAAAACTCCTATCTGTCAAGTAGGATTCAAACCATTTTAAGGCTATACATGTAATGCCAACACTTTGCTTGAGTCGGGATAAAAGGATAGAGTGGTTGACAGTGTCAAAGGCAGCAGTCAAATCTAAGAGCACTAAAACAGCAGAATTTCCTGAATCTACAGCTAAGAGGAGGTCGTTGTAGACTCTTAGAAGGACTCAACACTATTATCTTCCTAACTCATTTTGTTCAGACTGCTAGTCTCCTTGAAATTGCTTGTTCCCAAAATCTCGAATCCGACAAAAGGACTGAGTTGACTGAATTGGACAAAGAGATGAAAACACAGTCAGACAGGCAGAAGTCTTCCATCCATATTGTATACGCCACAGTCTGCTGTCCTACCAGCTCCTCTCATAACCACGAGGGGCTGAAGTCACAGCCCTCTGCTAATTGTCAGTGACAGACTACTGGGGGAGAGGAGAGGAGGGGAGGGGGGGTAATGGGAGCACGGAAGGGGGTGGAGAGGGACAGACAGACAGACTAAAAGACAGGCAGACCTCAAGGGAAAACAAATGCCTGCTGTACGTCTCTTTAATCACTCACACTCTCTTAATGAGCAGCAGTTTCATTTTCTTTCTTCTAACTAAGGGTGTGAGCGTCAGTGAGCCTCAGTCAGTGGACTGTTACTGTTGAGGCACGGAATTTTTTCAATGAACCAAATGTGAGAATCACTTACACCAATGGCACGTTGCCTGTTAGCCAAAGTACGATTCATACGGGTTAGAGGCTGTGAGATTGCAATGCATATAAGTACATCATGCAAAAAAGAATTGGTTATAACGTAGCATTTTGGTTTATGATGACAGTAATGGTAATATGATTATACTTATATAATAATAATGATAGCAGCAGCAGCAGCAGGTGTCAACAGGGCCATTGTAGGAGCCAGGAACAGGGTCCAGGTATAACCATAATCCATGGAAACCTCTGTGGCGAGAAAGCACAAATATTCTAGGAGAAACAAAGTTAGTGCTGGGCATTTATGTTTACAGCAATAGAAATAGGAATATTAATGGTGATAGAAGCGGAAGGTGTCCACTTGGCCAGGCAGGAGTGAGGATCAGGGTCCAGACAGAACTACGAACTACGGAGACCTGCAAGGCAAGAAAGCACAAAAAACTCTGTGAAAGAAGCTGAATTAGCGATGTGCATTACTAAAACGGGGATTATGGTAGAAGGAGAGACTGAGAGTAAGAGAGGAGCGTGTGTCCTAAGAAGTCCCCCAGGAGTCTAGGCCTATAGCAGCTTAACTGAGGGCTGGTCCAGGCTAACCTGAACCGACCCTAACTATAAGCAATATCAAAGAGGAAGAAGGTTTTAAGCTTTATCTTAAATGAGCTGACCAAAACTGCCCCCCAGACTGAAAGTGGAAGTTGGTTCCACAAAAGAGGAGCTTGATAACTGAAGACTCCCATCCTACTTTTTAAAACTCTAGGAACAACAAGTAAACCAGCATCTATGGAGCGCAGCTGCCTTGTAGGGCAATACGGTGTTACAATCGCTTTAACATAAGATGGTGCCTCACAAGTGCCTTTTAGGTGAGAAGAAGTACCTTCAATTCTATTCTTGATTTAAAAGGGAGCCAGTGCAGCGAAGCTAATGTAGGACTAATGTGATCCCTTTTCTTAGTTCTTGTTAATACACGTGCTGCAGCATTCTGAATCAACTGGAGAGGCTTAAGAGATTTACAAGAGCAGCTTGAAGAATTATAGTAATCCAGTCTAGAAGTAACAAACGCATGAATTAATTTTTCTGTATCACTTTAGGACAAGAAGTTCCTGATTATCCATATATTATGTAGAATATAAGGGAGGTGGTTATCAAGACTTGGCTACAGGTATTGGAACAACACATTAGTTTTTTGTGGACTCTTTTTCATATTTTACTTACTTTACATACTTCATATTTTTCAAAACAATACTGCTGTTTGTGACAATCTCTGCTGCAGTTTTTACTGCAGCTTTGCGTTCAGCTTAAAATGTTAAGAGGCACAGAAAGACATGGGCCAGAGTGGACTTTTACTTTGGGAAGGAACAAACGAGAAGTTAAACATGGACACTAAGATAATTCACAAAGGTGAGTAACATCCAACTGTATAGGAGAGCGCCCCCTTTTCTATGTTGTGTTAGTGTGCAAACGCGCAGTGTGTGAACACTTTGCAGCTCTTTTTTTTTGTTTCAATATACTTGTTTGTGGCTGCAGCTCTTTTTATTGTTCACACAGATTTTGTTTGTTTTGGCA